GATAAACGAAAAACAGATAGCAGGAGATAGCATCTCTCAAGCGATCATATGTGAAAAGGCTAGGAAGTTGCATGAGGATTTAATTAGAAAAATGCTTGCAACTAGTGGTGATGTGAGTGAATTTAAGGCCAGCAAAGGTTGGTTTGAGAGATTTAAGAATCATAGTGGCATACATAGTGTGATAAGGCATGGTGAGGCTGCCAGTTCGGACCAAAAAGCAGCTGAAAAATATGTGAAGGAATTCAAGGAGTACATAGATAGTAAAGAATTGAAACAAATGTTTAATTGTGACGAAACAGGCCTGTTTTGGAAGAAAATGCCAAGCAGGACCTACATTACTCAGGAGGAAAAGGCACTCCCAGGACATAAGCCTATGAAAGACAGGCTTACTCTGTTGACGTGTGCTAATGCTAGTGGTGATTGCAAAGTGAAGCCTTCATTGGTGTATCACTCTGAAACTCCCAGAGTGTTCAGGAAAAACAATGTCCTCAAGGCTAATTTGTGTGTGATGTGGAGGGCAAACAGTAAGGCATGGGTCACTAGAGACCTTTTCTGTGACTGGTTACACCATGCATTTGCCCCCACTGTGAAAAATTACCTCCTGGAAAATAAATTGGACCTTAAGTGCCTCCTGGCGTTAGACAATGCTCCTGGTCATCCTTCAGATGTCTCAAAGCGACTTTCTGGGGACATGAGCTTCATTAAGGTCAAGTTTTTGCCTCCTAATACCACTCCTCTCCTGCAGCCCATGGACCAGCAGGTCATTGCAAACTTCAAAAAACTGTACACAAAAGCTATGTTTGAAATGTGCTTTGTAGTGACCACAGAAACTCAATTGACTATAAGAGAGTTTTGGAGAGATCACTTTAGCATACTCAATTGTGTAAACATTATAGGTAAGGCTTGGGAGGAAGTGACTAAGAGGACCTTGGACTCTGCTTGGAAGAAACTGTGGCCAGAATGTGTAGACAAAAGGGATTTTGAAGGATTTGAGGCTAACCCTGAGAAGCCTATGCCAGTTGTGGAATCAATTGTAGCATTGGGGAAGTCCTTGGGGTTGGAAGTTAGTGGGGATGATGTGGAAGAGTTGGTGGAGGAGGACAATGAAGAACTAACCACTGATGAGCTGCAAGATCATCTTCAACAGCAAGAGGCCAGACCTGAGGAAACTGCTCCAGAGGAGGGGATGGAGAAATTGAGGAAGTTGCCTACTTCAAAGATTAAGGAAATGTGTGCAATGTGGCTTAAAGTGGAAACCTTTTTTGATGAAAAACACTCTCACACAGCTATTGCAAGCCGTGCTGGTGACTATTACACTGACAATGTTGTGAAACACTTAGGAATGTCATAAAGGAACGGTACAGGCCTCTATGGGCAGATATGTTGTGCGACAGAGGTCCAGTGACTCTCAAGCTGGTCCTAGTGGCATTAAAAGAAGAAGGGAAGTAACCCCGGAAAAGAACTTGATACCTCAAGTCCAAATGGAAGGGGATTCCCCTTCTAAACATTAACACCATCCACACTCTCCCCTCCTCCCATCCCATCAATCATCACCAGATCTTCAATAAAGGTAAGTGTCATGTAATTGTACATGTCTTCTTCAGTTTGTGTGTATTAAAATTAATATTTCATGTGGTAAATTTTTTTTTTCATACTTTGGGGTGTCAGGAACGGATTAATTTGATTTCCATTATTTCTTATGGGGAAAATTAATTTGGCTAACGATAATTTCGCCTAACGTTGAGCTCTCAGGAACGGATTAATATCGTTAGGCGAGGGTCCACTGTATATGAATTTTTTTTAAACTATCATGCTTTCATGGTCATTGGTCAATATAATAGTGAAAATTAGTACAGGTCGGCCATCACTAATCTGGTAATCAGTAATCCGGTTCCATCAGTAATCACGCACTAATTTCGGCTAGCATAATTTCAAACTTCCGGGCTTGCCACACCAACCTGCTTCTACTGTTTGGTGGCACTACTTGCTGCATAAGTTATTTCAATTTTTTTTTTCCATTTATTGTTATAACCTGTTCACTTTTAGCCCTAGCCATGGTTCCAAGAAATAAAAGAAATGTTTCTCGTTGTGTAAAGCGCATAACACTGTTCATTGTCTAAAAAAGATAAGGTGGCTTTGAAGCCACTGTCAGTTGCCACGAGCTCAGCTCACTCAGGTGACCTGTGACCGGTAAATTTGGGCCTACATATGAGAGAATAGGTCTGTGTGGTGTGCACTATATAAAAAAAAATTCTGCAGCACGCAGTGCATTATGAAAAAAAATGTGACCGTGTTTATGGTGCAAACCTGACTTTGCGGTGTATTTTCCTATGGTTTTTATGGTTGCATTTTCGTTTTCTTTGGTCTCATTTAATAGAATGGAAGATACATTACAGAAGCAGATATGATTTTGATTGGTTTCATGATGGAAAGTACATTGAAATTGAGCTCAGACTAGTGGAAATGTTCGATTTTCGCTGATGTTCAAGAGTAAACAAATGAAATCACCGTTCAATACATGTCCAACTGGCCAGTCTAATATGCAGTCACAAATGGGTTGACATTATTTATACAATTATTACAATAATGCAATAGTCTACATAACAGTAAATCTATTTTTTTTTTTTTTTGTGAATAAAAATTTGAAATGGAAAGCAAGTGCAATAAAAGAGGGACCTGGAGACATGACTAATGAAGAGAGAAAATGTTATTTTAGTTCCAGGAATGTCTGCATTGTTTATTCTGGACTCTATTTTGAAATTGGCTCCTCTTGAAATTTGTGTTAAATTGGCCAAATTATCAATTTCTGACCACTTTATTGAGTACTTGAAATGGGTAAATGGGTGGTTTCTTGTATTCAGTCGACAGAATAGAAGGAATACTAGTGAAATAGCTATGAGTTTGGTTGACTGGAACAATGGAATGTGCCCAAAAAAAAAAAAAGGGTGTAAACTGGGTGAAATCGTTGATGCATAAATACCGCCATTGGGTTAAGTGTATTCTAACCTAATCACTCTGTAATCTGGCAAAACCACTAATCTGGCACCTTACAGGTCCCAACAGTGCTGGATTAGTGATGGTTAACCTGTATTTGTATTTGTAGCTGACACACTGGTAGACGCTGACACACTGGTAGACGCTGACACACTGGTAGATGCTGACACACTGGTAGATGCTGACACACTAGCAGATGATGACACACTGGTAGATGCTGACACACTGGCAAATGCTGAAACACTGGCAGATACTGACACACTGGTAGGCATTGACAAACTGGTAGATGGTGATATACTGATAGCTACTAACACAATGATAGACACTGACACCAGGGGGCCAGGAGCTATGTATGACTTGACCCCTGCAACCACAATTATGTGAGTACAATTAGGCGAGTACACTGGTAGATAATGACACACTGGTAGACGCTGACACCTTGGTAGACGAATACTGTCCAATTACCAAGGAGATCTACGGTGCCCCGTGGCCTGGTGGCAAAAGCTCGTTTCACACAGTGAGCGTCCGGGTTTGATTCCCGGCAAAGGGGTGGAAATATTAAGCATGTTTCCTTGCACCAGTTGTCAATGTTCACCCATCAGTAATAGTGGGTACTTGGGTGTTAGTGGACTGGTGTGGGTCGCATCCTGGGGCAAAATCAACCTAATTTGCCTAAAATCCTCAGCATAACAAGCGGCTTTCTATGCTACAGTATGTCACTGGTGTCAGCTAGGAGCGTATACCTTGTACATGTGCTTGCAGTTTCCGGATAGACCTACAGGCGGCAGGTTGTGTAGCGGGCTAGCTGCGGGATTTTCAAGGATAGCTCCTGGTCAAAGAGGCTGACCAGGTCCCTACTTAACAGAACTCAGTGTGAATGCTTTGAGAAGATACCAGAGCAGCAAATGGACATCCCAGTGCATCGTTTCAGCTTAAATAGTTGAAGTGTTGTGCAGTTTCAGAGGATTTGGTGTTGTCGAGTCAGGACCAGTCAGCGCCTCCCCCCCTCTCTGCTGTGGGGGAGGGAGGGCGTGTGTAGTAAACAGTGACCCTCTCATAACACCTCACACCTGCGCGTCTCCCCTGCCTCACCCACCCAACTCCCAGCGCCACCCTATCTGTAGAGGGTACTTCTCCCCTAACCCACGATGTCAGCGATGGCACTGCAGGGAGTGCCGGGCTCACAGGAACTTCTACTACAGGGACAGCATCGTGGAGTTCGACCGCGAGGCAGCTGTCAGGTGTGCCACAGGCAGTGTGTACTCAGTTCCTCAAGCTTCAACATCCATGCACACGAGGGCCTGGGATCTTCAATCAACTTGGCGTCCACCAGGACGCTGACATGTCCCTAGGACAGCTCTCCATCGGGCTGCTAACGGAGTCACTGGCTTCTTGGACCTCTTGGGGAGGGTCGATGGTGCTCGTGCAAGCAGCAGATCCCAGGGCAACTTGCTGCTGTTTGCAATGGCTGTCTACCGAGGAGAGACAGGCACCTAGCAACATCTGTTGTTGGGGCAATGGATGAATTCCCTACTATGTTTGTTAACTGCTCATTACTCTGTAATTTGTCTATGATTGTAATCATGTCATAACGTGTTTATCATTCATTACCTTTGAAACTTGTCATGATTTTGACCAGCTCTACCTGGAGCTCATTACCTTTGTAAATTCTCATGATTAATGTGTTTATGATTCATTACCTTTGCAATTATTCATGAGTGTGACCAGCTCAACCTGGAGCTCATTACCTTTGTAACTTGGTCATGATTATGACCAGATCTAGTTCATTACCTTTGTAACTTGCTCAGCTATCAAAACTTTGGTGTCCAGTCCCTGGACCAATTATGTACCTCTGTAATCTTTTGACTACCGCCCACAGGATGGGTATGGGGTGCATAATAAACATATTAAACTAACTAACATGTGCTTGCAGAAATAAAGATTATTATTATATTAAAAACTCTGGAAGGGAGTACATAAAAACTCATTTATGGTTGGGTACTTACGTTGCTTGGATGCAATGTTCTGCGTGTGTCTCAATGTCAGAGTCAGGGAAGAAGGCACCACATATAGGACACTCCACTTTCATGGTTCTCCTCTACCAGGCAGGGCTGGTGTGTCACAATAAACAGAACAATAAGAAACACTATACTTTGCTAGCTACAACTTCGCGCTGCTGCAGTTGATTTTGTTTGTTGGGTTTATAAGAGCCACTGACAGTTTACGCAGTATCAAGCCCGACTTCCCCATGTAGATTTGTAAGTAAGTTTATTCAGGTATACACGGTATACACAAATACAGTTATATAGAATATCATGCATAGCAGCATATGTGTAGATAACCTAGGATAACACAAAAATGTCAGAGTGACATATTTCCATTGGGGTCCTTTGTAAAAGGAAGATTTATTGCCCAAAACTGGGTGATGAAGGAAATAGGAACAAATGTTCCATTGTAAATATTATTATTATTCTAATCAAAAAGAAGCGCTAAGCCACAAGGGCTATACAGCTCCATTGTAAATAGAAACAGGAACTAGACATTCCCATTTAGATCAGGTGAACCCCTTCCCAAGCTCCAGAAGAGAGGGACACCGACACCCCCCACCTAAGTTCAGTAACCGGCTCTCATACTTAGCGCTGCTTCTTTTTTTTTTTTCTTCGTTGGGTTTATCAGGGCCACTGACAGCATAAGCCGTATCGAGTCCGGCTTCTCGATGGTGCGAGGGAAAATTGTTGCCCAAGGCTGGACGATGAGAGAAAAGGAATGAAAGTTCCATTGTAAACAGAGATAGAAACTTGAAGTTTCCAATTAGATCTGGTGGACCCCCTTGCCAAGCTCCAGCAGAGAGGGACGCCCACACCCCACCTGAGTACAGTAACCGGCTTCCCACCAAAGACCGATAAAGAATTATCCGAAGAGTGGAAAAAATGGAGCTGGCTAAAAGTAAGCCGATGTACAGGTGCCCCTCCTGTAGAGTGCCCGGCGGGCAAAACAGATGAGGACAAGTGTCCCAGTGAGAACGGAGGAAATTTGTCACTGATACACAGGCCCGGTGGCCTGGTGGGGTGGCCCGGTGGCCTGGTGGATGGTGGCCCGGTGGCCTGGTGGCTAAAGCTCCCGCTTCACATACGGAGGGCCCGGGTTCGATTCCCGGCGGGTGGAAACATTCGACACGTTTCCTTACACCTGTTGTCCTGTTCACCTAGCAGCAAATAGGTACCTGGGTGTTAGTCGACTGGTGTGGGTCGCATCCTGGGGGACAAGATTAAGGACCTCAATGGAAATAAGTTAGACAGTCCTCGATGACGCACTGACTTTCTTGGGTTAGGTAAATTAGACACATGTGCAACTCTTGGGTATCTTTATTGAGGAAACGTTTCGCCACACAGTGGCTTCATCAGTCCATACAAAGGAGAATCTTGAAGAACAGGAGGAGAATGAGGTAATCAGTCCCTCAACCTTGAGTCGATGTGGTCAGTCCATCAATCTTGAATAGATGGACTGACCACATCGACTCAAGGTTGAGGGACTGATTACCTCATTCTCCTCCTGTTCTTCAAGATTCTCCTTTGTATGGACTGATGAAGCCACTGTGTGGCGAAACGTTTCCTCAATAAAGATACCCAAGAGTTGCACATGTGTCTAATTTACCAACATGTCGGTTCTCTGAACCTTTCTTGGGTTATCCTGGGTGGCTAACCCTCCGGGGTTAAAAATCCGAACGAAATCTTATCTTATCTTATCTTAAAGGCTGACGCAGAAGTCTCCTTAGCGCTGTTGTTGTTGTTGTTGTTGTTGTTGTTGTTGTTGTTGTTGTTGTTGTTGTTGTTGTTGTTGTTGTTGTTGTTGTTGTTGTTGTTGTTGTTTGTTGTTGTGTTGGTTGTTAGAGCCACCAGGGCTGGTACCGTGCTCGGCACCTCAAAATCAAATAAAATATAAAAAACTTTATTTCTTTGTTAAGGTTACAATGTGTGTTTACGTTTCATAATTAGACAAAGAAAACCACTATCATGCCGAGGCATTTCGGGCAAACTTAATCTAATACTTAAAGACTACTTAAGTCTAGACAGGTGAAGACTGGTAGATTACAAATATTCAATATTATGCTCCATTATTAATATGAGGTAGTACAATTTATGATACAAACATACAGATCCCAAGGCCCCGAAAAGGTCCCCAGGCCACTGAAAAGGTCCCCAGGCCCCAGAATATGTCCCCAGGGCCTGAAAAGGTCCCCAGGCCCCCAGAAAAGTCCCCAGGCCCCAGAATAGGCCCCCAGGCCCATTTTAAATTTGTGATTAAGTTTCTTTGCTCTATTATTAATATGAGGTAGTACAATGAATAATGGCTTAATAGTTATGGGATAAGAAAATATCTGGGAGAGTTGCTTTAAATTTGGTTAGAGTTTAGCATCGTGTGGGTATGGTTGTTATAGAGAGATGAGATGATTTCTGAGTATAGTCCTAAACTGATTTTGGGAGCAAGGGACCTCTTGCTCTTAATGGTACTCTGCCTTGACAAAAAACTGAAGGATAGACCGCAAATCACCCAGAACAAAATTGTAAGATTCATCCTGGACCTGGGTCCAAGAGAGCATGAGGAAATGGTATGGCGATACCGACAAGATGTGGAAAAAGACACTTATGTACAGTTCAGGACATTTATTAGAGGAAACGTTTCGCCACGAGTGAAGAAGGACTGAAGAAGCCACTCGTGGCGAAACGTTTCCTCTAATAAATGTCCTGAACTGTACATAAGTGTCTTTTTCCACAAGAGAGCATGTAGGCCAGAATGAATTACAGCAGTTGGATATGCTGAATGTTGAAGACAGAGTAAAACAACTGAAGCTAAATCATGTTTATAAAATTGCTCACAAACAATGTCCAGAATATCTTGCTGTCAATTTTGTCAAGGTTGGGAACCATAGCAATCATAGTACTAGGGGGAGAGAGCACAACTTTGTAGTACCCACAGTCAGTGGCCAGGCTTCAAACACCTTTTATTGTACAGCAATAAAGGAATGTAACAGACTGCCCGCATATGTCAAAGCCAGTCATAGCATGAACTAGTTCAAGAAGAGTGCCAAAAGGTGTCTGATGAATGTAGCTACAGAAAGGGAGAGGGAATGATTTTTTATTTTTTAACTAACACACGTCTAATTTTACCATATTCCTAGTAATGACCCTCGTATTGTAGACAGTCTTAATGACCCTCGTGTAGTAGATAGTATTTTTAGTATGATAATAAGATGTTATCTTCATTATAGAATAATAGGAAAATATTATAACCTTCATATTATAATAATAAGGTAAAAAGACCCCAATGGAAATAAGTCACTCTGTCTGACTCTTTTGGATTATCCCAGGTTCTCTACACATGCTGCTATGTATGATAATCTATGTAACTGTATTTGTGTATACCTGAATAAACTTACTTACGTGCTGTTTTGGACAAAGAGTTCCAGATCTTCGGGCCTTTTATGTGCATTGCATTTTTGCATAGTATGAGACGGACACGAGGGATGTCAAAAAGTGTTTTGTGTCTCGTGTTATGCCTGTGTGTTCTGTTGAAGCTATCTAGGAGAAGTTTGAGTGGAGAGTTGATACTGAAGTTTAACGTTCTGCATAAATAGTAGGTACAATAAAAAGTGTGTATTTTTTGCATAATAATATCTTTATTTACTACCAGTACATGTATAAGGTATAGTCCTAGCTGACATCAGTGACATACTGCTATATAGAAAGCCGCTTATTATACTGAGCATTTCGAGCAAATTAGGTCAGTTTTGTCGCAGGATGCGACCCACACGAGTCGACTAACACCCAGGTACCCATTTTACTAATGGGTGAGCATAGACAACCGGTATAAGGAAACGTCCCATGTTTCCACCCCTTCGCCGGAAATCGAACCCGGACCCTCAACGTGTGAAGCGAGAGCTTTTGCCATCAAGCTTCAACCACCAAGTAATAATAATAATAATAATATTTTTATTTCTACAAGTAATAAGTAAGTAAATAAGGTTATTTAGGTACATGTACACATAAGTACAAATATCGCACATAGTGTAAGTTACCTAGGGTAACCCAGTAAAGGTCAGAGTGACTTATTTCCGTTGGAATTACCTTATATTTCCTTTAATAAGTTTATTTTGGTGCAGGTACACATAAATACAGGTACACAAATTATCAAACATAGTAACATATGTGAAAATTACCTAGGAAAACCCAAGAGAATCAGACAAGTAAGTTTATTCAGGTATACACAAATACAGTTACATAGATTATCATACATAGCAGCATATGTGTAGACAACCTGGGACAGCCCAAAAAACAGTCAGACAAAGTGACTTTTTTCCATTGGTTTCCTTGGATTGGATGTGATTCCGTCGCACTCCCTTAGGCGCTATATCACCATAGGTTTAGCGCTTCCCACAAAATATAATAATAATAATAATCCACTCTCCAATGAGGAAATAAGCAAAGTTTTATACAAATTAAAATACAAACGTCATTTCTACAAATATCAAAGTCAGAGTTTATTTCCACACGATACAATGTTTATGTCTAAATGGTCCCCTCAAGGAAGGTTCCTTGATGTTGGTGAGGGGCTCTTGATTTAGGGAATTGGATCTGTGCTCCAGTTCCCCGAATTAAGCCTGAATGCCTTCCACATCCCCCCCCCCAGGCGCTGTATAATCCTCCGGGTTTAGCGCTTCTCCCTTGATTATAATAATAATATGTCTAAATGGGTGACATTTGATTACATACAGAAAGTTTATGGTTACGCAGAGCATTTCGGGCAAGATTAATTATATATGTCATTAATTATATATCTAGCACATAAATCACTTCCTCTGCATACATACAATAAGAAAATTTACAATAGTTTTGAGGGCACAAAAAATATTGCCCAGTTGTGAGCAGTAATTAGGAATGAAACAAACGTTCTCCAGAGGAAACAGTAAAGAAAACCAGCTTTCAAAATTAGTTCAACTGAATTCCTTAATTATGCCCAGACTGATACACCCTATTATTATTATTATTATTATTATTATTATTATTATTATTATTATTATTATTATTATTATTATTATTATTATTATTATTATTATTGTGGAAAATACTGTATATATTTTCCGGAAATACGGCAATTTATAGGTAAACAGATGCCCTATATTGTATTTTTAAAAGAAGTATGTTATCGAAAATGGGAAACCTGCGGCTGGGGAGGAGACTCGCCATCTTGGTTTGGAATTTTGTACAAACGTTGGTGTAAGGGGAAGAATTTTTCGTGCTCTAGAAGTTAAAATTGTGTTGACACCTCTCAAATAGGAGGCGAAATTGGTGGATGTGCATTCCTGCATAACTTGAGATATCAGACGACTGGACAAGACAGCTCCAGGAACCTCAGATAAGCTCTCTAGATTTGTGTGTAATTCTGGCCAGCATTATTTTCATAGATTTAGTTAGAGTGTGGTTTTCTGAGTATGATATACATTAATCTCCAGTCAAATTGGTGAGTGATATTAAGATATATTTTCCTTCTGTTATGTAATTGTGTATATATATAACCATTTATTATTTTTAATATACAGTCCACAAATTTATATATTTA